GACACTATTTTGAGGATGAGTAATAACTAGGCATCTTTTAGTAAAACATGAGAGTTAGTGTAGCAAGCTTACAGAAACCACTTCAGTGCTTTGCTCAAGGAAATTTCTCAGCCTTTCTCCCCAGTATGTAAAAAGAGTCTGGGTCTTAATTCTTTACTGTTGTGGGCTCTTCAGCTGAAATATGAGCCTTGGAAAAATTAATAAGAATGTGCTATAGCTGTAAATTTAGTTTAGAAACTTAGAACTACATCAGTTAGCATTAGATGTAGAAATATTTTATTTGGTAAACGGCATCGCCTATTTTTCTGTAGACTGTTTTAGCACAAAATGAAGAAGGAGTGTTTAGTTCTTTCTGAGAGTCCCAAAGAATCAACATTTCATCCCCAGTTCACCAACTCATGCTATCAAAAGGTAATAGTTTTCTGGCGCTCAAAAGTGGAAATGATGATGTTTATGTTTGCAGACAAATAATACTGAGTGAGACACTAACATTTCACACATGCTGTAAAAAAAAAGGAGTTTATCAGGTTACACAGCTGTACAAAATAACAATAAACTGTTATTTAAAGATAAACATGTTAATTAGTAAGCTTTCTTTAGGTTAATGAAGATAGAAATATCCAATTAAAATTATTTTTAACAGCTGATAGCCCAGATTTTTGAGGTGTGAAGCACAACAAATTAACTAGTCCTATATATTCAAGTCTGGATACAAGGACACAGTCAAAAACTTATGGCACAAGTGTGTTACATGGGTAGTTAGATTCCAGCCCATCTAAGGACCAGAACAAACCAAGTTATCTAGAGATTGCAGTTCACAGGATTTTTCAGTTATTGAAGACTTGGCCAAGATTTACTCTTCAGAAATAATACATTCAAAGAGAGCCTTTCAAATGCCTACACTTGTTTCTAATTCAGAATTTTTTTCAAATCCTGCACATACCAAACCAGTCAAAGACTATACATTTATAGGTGAGAACCTGTCAAAATTAAAGACAGAAACAACTATGTAAATTTTTAATTATTTTTAAAATTGCGTAATAATTTAGGTTACCTCTTATCAGTAAGATAAAATCCATTTTGTTATTTTGTTTCATCAAGCCACTATATTATTGTGTTGACTCTCATTATTTGATTATGTTAATCAGTAATATACATACACATTTTAAAAATCTGTGTTTTGTGCCAAAGGGAAATTATATCTTCTTATGAACAATAATCATATTTTTTTTCCCCTCATTTGTAACCTTAACTAATAGCAATTAGTTAATTCAGCACATGGCTGATTTGAATTTATGACTGTACTTCTGAGGACAACAGAAGATATGAGGCATCCTCATCTAAACATGGTATTAATTTAGGAATCAGTCTGACAGAGGTCATGGGAGGAAATTCATATCTGGGAGAAAAGCATTCTCCAACATGGAGGACAAATTGAGACCTTACTCCTCCATGATGTGTTTTTTGATAGGGTCATAAATAATTAAACTGATGTTGAGTAACTACATGTTGTAACTATCTATTGGGTACAAACTACATATAACAATATGTGTGACACCACGCAATTTTACTAAGCTAAGCAAAAGCCAAAAGAAATCTCTAGACAGGCCAAGACTAGTCCATGGAAAGTCTGATCCACCTGAAGACCTGTGGTGCTAACATTGGTCTATAAGGCCCTGAAAAGAAATCATTGGATGTTTTAATCTCTACTGAGGCTGAGCCAAACTAAGATTGCAATTAAGTGTAGGGTTTTACTGGCTTTCAGCAGCTACAGTTCAACAAGGCCTAATGTCCTAGTCAGTAATGATAAGAAATACTGGCGTTTCTTGTGTTCCCTATTTCCAGTTTAAGTTGTCACCAACATTGATAAAATTGTCCTTCAGTGATATATAAAGCACATTGCTTGATACCATGGAATTGAACGAGAATTATGCTTATATATCACCACAATGTAGCTCGACAAGCAAAATACATCATACACAGTCTTGTTTCACTTGGCCACTATTACTGAAGATAATTGAAGGGGGTTTTTAGGAAAAAAAAATATTTAGTCTGGGAGCTTTGTTTTGCTGTATTTCTTTATCTCTTCATTTTACCTGCCTACTTCAACTTTTCAAGAGGAAATTTTAGCTTTCCATGCCATAACACAGCTCTTGTAGGTCTTTTAGGTAGTAATAAACTTTTAAAGGAACACAGATCATCATTCTGTTATAAATATATGTAGATATACATTGTATTCCAATACTATATTTTGCAATCTGGTATTTTTAAATAAACAAACAAACAAATAATTAAGATCTATACAAGGTTGGCAACAGACATTATAAAAATAATATTTTAATTTTCTTCATATATTTAATGGGATGGAGACTTCTCAGACTGAGAGGTGATTTTGAAATATTCTATCATACTTTTGTGAAGCTTCAAAAGTTACTTCAGATAAGGCATAATATTTTATTGTTATGTCTACTATACTACTGGTTGAAAATTTTCCAAACACCAACTGAGATTTAACAATACCCTCAAATTCTCTTGCACTTTATTTTGTCGTATTTCTTCTTATATTAAACATATATTTATTGAGGAAATGCTTATATAAAATCATTGTCATTGTTAGTATTTTTTTTTCCAGAGAGTTACTACCAATAATCCAGAACCAGAGCTCTAGTCTAAGCATATCATAAAGTTGCCTCAATTTTAGTTCCAAAATTCACAGTTCAGAAACAAAGTCTCTGTATTAGAAAACATGGAGATAGTATTTGCAAAAAAATTAACTCAAAACCCAAGATCTTAGTGAATATTAGCAGCCTATTACATACAGTGTGTAATTTTCTTAAACATTTATTTCATTTTAGGAGTCTAATACCTTCAGCATAATATTCTTAAAATCTTCCTTTTTTTTTTTATTTTTAGACAGGAGACTTGGCACTAGTCTCTGTTGCCACTGCTTAGGTAAATCATATACTTCATTCCTTTCTTGAACAGAATTTTATCCATAAATAAGAAATTGAGTTAAGTAACCAATGTCTAGCTGAAAAAAGTGACTTGCTTTTATCTCATAACTTGGTTTTCATTCATTCTTTTAATATATGTATGTATATTTTATTGTTTTCTGTGTTATTTTGTCAAATGGTCTTAATGATCTTTAAGGTTTTTTCTACCTAGTTATCTTGAAAAAGCAATTTAAACTTCCCTTTAATGTTTAAATGGGTTTTATCTGGAGCAAAGTATACTCTTTGGTTGGGTTATTCTCATTATAAAGTGCAAAGCCCTTTCTCTTGATTGCCATTAGTTGCTGGAATATAAACAAAGGTCCATATACTTATTAAATATGTATAATTAAAAAAAAAATGTGTATCTGTTGTTATTATTTTTTGTTGTTTTTCAGCTGTCCCTATCAGTCCTTAAATTTTGGAGTCAACTATCCATAAATGGAATTATGCATAAATTTTTGAGCATGTCTAACACTGGTTGAGCACACTTTTCAATTCGATATTAAATTATACTTTTTTTTAGAGTAATTTCTAAAATGGAATAAGAAGGTTTTTTTGTAATTAACCTGAGCTCAGAATATTTACTGTGCATTGTTTTTTAATGTCAGATGATGAGAGAACTCATGTGTCTAACAAAAGCAAATTGTTTACTCATTCATGGATTCTGTTCAGGGCTCTGTAGTTGAATGAATTCCAAATCAGCAGTTCTATTGAGTTGCATGGCAATCGATTGCCTTTTATGTTAGATGAATGGTCATGTACAACCCCCTCTTCTCCCTTGTCCTTACTTTTTTTCTTTCTGGCCCTCTGCCTTAGATGCCATCACCCAAAGCTGTTAGTCCCAAACAAGATTCTGTTTAGTGGCTATCAGCCACTTCCAGCTTTTCATTGCATATAAATGACTGTATTAAGAATTGGAGATGTGATGTGGAGCTGTAAACGAGAGCTGTGAAACAGAAAAAAAGTCCAAATGTGTAGAGGAGGGGAATAATTTGAAATGAGGCACATAAGAGGATGATTAGCAGAACTTTTTTATATTTACAGCTATAGGAACGTTACTAATTGGAAAACAGACTTTTTTTTTTTTATTATTTTTTTTCATGTGACACGTTTAGCATCGAGTTTAGGGAGATGTCCTCCCTTTAGAAATGCATACCTTTCCTTTTATTAATAATGTGCCTTCATATGAGCCTGTTTAACTGCATTAGACAAAGCTTATAACAGTTTTATCATGCATGTATTGGAGGGCAAGGACATCGTTAATGTTTCATTTTATTTTATGGTTGTTTCGGGAGACAGGCTGTGTGTCTTTCACCTAATGTCAAGAGTCCTCATTTTTCAGTTTACCACTTACTGAAATCTCCAGTGCTCCCATCAGCCCTGCAGGAACACAGTGAAATCCTCTAAAGCATTTGCTTTGTGGCCAAACACTGGCATTGAAAAAAGACTATAAGTGGGTACATAAGGCATCCATGAACAGGAGATCATGGTTGTGTAACTTCCACTTTAAGCAACATTGCGAAGAATTATATAAATATCACCTTTGCATTATCTGACAATAAGATGACATGGTGTTAACATCAGACTTTCTACATTTTCCATGGTGTTGCTCCCAGTTCTGCATGGAGACTGATCGTATTAATGTGTTGTGGTTTGGGCCTGATCGGTAACCAACCCCCGCAGCTAATCACCCTCCCTTCCCCCTCCCCACCTGGGAATGGGGGAGGGGATTAGAGGGGTGAAGGGAGACTCGCAGGCTGAGATAAGAACAGTTTAATAATGGCAATAAAATGAGAACAATAATGATGATGGGGGGAAAACAAAAAGAAATATATAAACAGGCAATGTACAGTGTAATTGCTCACCACCCGCTAACCAATACCCAGCCTGTTCCCGGCCAGCGACCCCGAGATACCAAGATCCCACAATCACAATCCCGGAAGCGAGAGAGCTCCTTCCCAACCACCCCTCCTTTATATAGTGAGCATGACGTTCCATGATATGAAAAAAAATATGGAAAGCTTCACGAATTTGCGTGTCATCCTTGTGCAAGGGCCATGCTAATCTTCTCTGTAAAAATAAAAAAAAATCCTAATCACAACATAATGGTAACACATTCTGTTTAGCAATGGACATACCAAGTATTTTACTGGGACCTTTTGGGAGCACTCCAAGTTTTTAATTGTGCAAGGTGATCCTTCTTCCAAATGATAGTTGCTTTATGTTGATGTACAAAGAAAAGTCTTCATTTTTGAACACAGACATTCTAAGACCTCTAGATGTACCTCTATGATGAATGTTTAAATTTTCCCAAGATCAAAAAATCAACAAACTACTAAGATTCATTGTTTTTTAAGGGTTGTTCTGACATGACCACTGATTTTAGTTTATGATACTATTAAGGACCTGTTTATGTCAAAATAAATATATATCTGTGTTAATGGCACCATTGTCTGTTGCACCTCCATATAACTCACAGCATCTACTCTGTTTCTTAACAGTTTACAATTCCTTTTTTCCACTGCTAGGCTAAGATCTCTTTCCTGCATCACTTGAACATGGATGGTTCTCAGATGGGTGCATAGCCCTATGTGTAAAAATCAGCATTACATCCTTCTCTTTTAATCCTAAAAATCTCTTCCTTGCACAAAGTAGATTTCAGAAGTATTGGAAATGGCTACAATCCTGGCCTAGGATTTCTGCAGATGATGTAACTAACATTTTCCTCCTTTGTCCTTCCTCCCTTATAAAGTCTTCCATTCTCTTTCTAGTGTGTCACTGCTCCCCCCGGAAACTCTTCACTCACCTCACCTTTGTTCTTATATGTGAAATGTGAACCTTCATTCTCATCTTTAAAGTCAGGTGCTGTTCCTCAGTGCATCTAATTTCTGTTAAAGGGCCTTTGCTCTGCCCAGTCTTCTTTCCTCTGTGCTCTGTTTGTTCTCCTCACACCCAACCCTCTTTCTACTCTGCCTTTGATAGTCCCACTCCACAGTGTAGGAATGGCAGCCTCCTTCCTGTGTGTCAAGCACTCTCTCTCTTTAAACTCACATTTTCCGCTTCACTTCTTACTTCTTACTGTAATGGACTTGCACTGTCTCTGCCTGACCCAACTCATACCTCATTATCCCTTAGGAAATTGCAGACTCCTCAGTCCCATGTGTTTTAAAATTATGTATAAATGCATTAGAGATCATTAAACTGGATTAAAATAGTGATTGTTTTATAAACACAGAGAGCCATATATGAGTTAAAAGAGCCCTATGTTGGCTTTATGAATGGAACTTAGCCAAGTGTTAGCCTCTATGTCAGTACTACCTAGTTTAGCATGTATACAGAACATCACCTGGGATTAGATATCTGGATTTCCTCTTCCTCCAGTAGATCAGGCTTGATTTGGCTATAAAGACCATTGCCAAAGATTCACTTCCAGTTGACAGTAAACCTGTTTTCTTAAGACAAAAGACTTACTACTCCAGAATGTGAGCTCCCATGTTACAGCAAGTTCTGCAACTCTGGTATACGCACAATAATTCAAATTTTCATTCAAGCTCTTGCTAGACTTGAGGCTCCCAGTAAGGCTGTAACTTGATGTGCCAGCATAGGCAAACCCAAAACTTGCTTTGTTTATTGTAGTTAACGTATAACAGAGGAAAAAATAGAACAAATAAAACAGGAATTATGGATACATAATTGTTTCTGTTATGCCCAACTAGTCTGGAGAAGATCATTTATTTGTGAGCTTTGTAAAATGTCATGCAATTAGAGTGCTAAGGATTATTAACAAGAAAAATGCCTGACAGAAACTGAAATTCACTATTAACAGCTTTTTTTTTGTTTTCATTAGGTGTCAGAACTCTTCATAAAAATTTTCAATTGTCTCTTTTTGGGTTAGTGTTGTATTGTGGTTATATTAATTCTTTACAATCTTTTTGATCACATCTTATTGATCAGAGGTCAAGTACAGTGTGGTTAATATAAACCACAAAGATCTGAAATAAGATGCAATCTTTTGCAAACGTTCCTACTTCACTTAGAATTTATGTTAAATTTTCTGCCTCAATGGCAATACACTTTTCAGACAATTTTTAAAAACTTAACAGGCCAAGACTAGAAATTCTTACTAAATTAATGTCTATCATATGAATGAGATGAATACAAAAGTTAGAAAGCCTGTAGCATCCAAGATGAGTGATTAGGTAGAAAACACTTATCATGGTCCCTTGTGTGTGTAACTATATATATGTGTGTATATATATATTTTTAAAACACACACAGCTGTGTACGTGTATGTGTACATGTATGTGTATGTATATGTGCATGTGTATGTGGCTGCTATTTATCTAATAGACTAGAGTAGCACCGGTGGACCATAAACTTCTGTTGAAAAGTATATATTTAGATTAAAAAAAATAAAAATAATTTAAAAAAATAAATTGCCCATTTACACCTTAATGGTTCCTTTCAAGCCATTACACAGAACTTTGACATGAGCAGTTACAGGTTGCTATATAAATCTTTCTCTTATACATAATTATTTAGTTATTCATGTTAAACATTATAACAAAACTACTTTATAGATGCTGATTTCTAGATGTTACTGCTCTTGATCTTTCCCACATAAATCATTAGATAATGAAGAGGACTACTTTAAAAATTATTAATTGAAAAACATTTCATGTGATCTGCTAAAGTCCAACACATGTGCTTTGAATTAGTCAAGTTGGAAATCATACCAGATTTTTTTATTAAATAAAAAAAATGGTAGCACCTGTATTTCTAAATTGATTTTTGACAAACATAAAAGTGATTTCAATCACTTCAGTTGAGCTATGTTGAGATTTTAAAGAGTAAATCTGGTGTTTTGCATTTTAGCCTTTGGAAACAAAGAAATGCTATGATATTCTTTAAGGATTTCCCACAGAGTTTACAATTTTGATAACACATATTCAGAGGTTATGGAAAACACTGCATTATGTATGTGTTTATAATGAGTTTTAATCTGCTAGATAATTTTTTATAATTAACTTCTTAAAAGCCTTTAAAGTAGAAGACTCGGGACATAAGTCCTCAAGAATTGTATTCTGTCAAATATCTGACCTATAAAGCATTACAAAAGTTTTTGTTATATTTTGAATAATTTTGATGGAACTCACTATCAAATGAACATGGAAGAGGATTGTCATTTAACAATTTGATATTAAATAATGATGGAAGTGTCATTCTTGCTGTAGTTTTCAATTGACAAAAATCTTCCAAAGCTGGGAGGGTTCTAATACAATTACTTTCTGTTCACTGGGTTTGGCAAAATATCTCTCCTTTCTACTGATAGTCAGTTCGTCTCACTCACATCAGGTAGAGAATGATGAATCTAAAATCTCTGGTTAGTGCTTATACAGTCTATGTGCTACATGTTGAGGAGTCCCCTTCTGTATTCAGGAATACAGTAATTCATCAGAGTTCATTTAAACATCTCGTTTTGTTTTTATTAGTATAGGTTTTGTTTTTACACACCATCAGTGTATTTTACTGAATGCTGGACAGAACTACTTACTAGTCAGCTGTAAAAATAAATAAAAGACACCATCTTTGCCTGTGTAAACCTCAAGAAGTTCAGCAAAACCACATGCAAGGTCCTGCACATGGGTCAAGGAAATCCCAAGCACAGACACAGGACAGGCAATGAGTGGATTGAGAGCAGCCCTGCAGAGAAGGACTTGAGGGTATTGAGGAAAACTGACTGTGAGCCATCAATGTGCACTCACATCCCTGAAAACCAACCATGTCCTGGGCTGCATCAAGATGAGTGTGGCCAGCAGGTGATTCTCCACCTCTACTCCACTCTCGTGAGACCCAACCTGGAGTACTGTGTCTGGCTCTGGGGCCCCCAATATAAGAAGGACATGGACCTGCTCAAGTGGGTCCAGAGGAGGCCACGAAGATGATCAGGGGTCTGGACTACCTTCCCTGTGAGGACAGGCTGAGAGAGTTGGGGTTGTTCAGACTGGAGAACAAAAGGCTCCAGGGAGATCTTATAGCAGCCTTCCATTGCTTAAAGGGGGCCTACAGGAAAGATGGGGAAGGACTTTTTATCAGGGATTGTAGTAACAGGATGTGGGGTAACTGTTTTAAGCTGCAAGAAAGTATATTTAGATCAGCTATAAGGAAGAAATTCTTTACTGTGCAAGTGGTGTGGCACTGGCACAGGTTGCCCAGAGCAGCTGTGGCTGCCCCCTCCCTGGAAGGGTTCAAGGCCAGGCTGGACGGGGCTTTGAGCAACCTGGTCTGGTGGAAGGTGTCCCTGCCCATGGCAGGGGGCTTGGAACTAGATGGTCTTTAAGGACCCTTTCAACCCAACCAACTCTATGATTCTGTGTTTCTATAACCTTTGGACATCTCTCCTCTACTAATGTTTTAAGAACCATAATAATTTCATGTAGTTTCAGTGCTCATGAATAATGTTCCCAACTGTGTCTTTAGGTGATGATTTTCGTAAGTATCTAACTTAAGGGAATTTAGGTTTGTTCTGCTGTCTTGAGTATCCACATAAGGTTCATTTATGAAGTGTACCAAGATCAGGCAATGCTTTTCTAGCTGAGATATCCCAAATGCTTGCTTAATAACGGCTGTATTTTGTTTTCGAATTCTGACAATTAAAATGTTATGATAAAAACAGTATGAAAGCACAGCTAATAACAGAGATTGAATCTATCTTACATAAACATGAAATAGTGTTTTCTATTAAAAGCTAACAACTGTATTTGTTCAATATTTTACAGTTGAATAGACTTTGAAAAGAAAAATTTAGGAAAGGCTTTGCTTTTGTGAGGGAAATTATCCCATTACTGTAGTGATAAAGAAGAAAGTCTACACACATGCAAAATATTTTCATTTTAGCAATTTAACTCCACTCATATATGCCTAAATACATTTATGGTTAAGTATCATTATGCATCAGATGTAAAATCTTGGAATGAAAAGACAAAGTTGGGAAGATTACCACACGTTGTAAATTCCAGGGTAGATCCAAGTGTTTAACTGGTGGTAGCTTTCTCTGTTAAGTGAGTTCAACAACCAAAGAAAGGAAAATGCAATTACAAAGGCATCTGGA